GGTCCTCTGAGCAGGGACCCGCGGTGGGAGGGACAGCCTCACACCGACCACGTCGCCCCGCACACAGCCGCACGCCTGACGGAGGGTCGGTCTCTCTCCAGCAGCAAACACCCACGGTACGAACAGCGGGAGGCTGGACTCGCCTCATCTCAGGGAATAGGATGTGCACAACAAAACAAAAGCAAAGGAATAGTTTTATACTTTGATTTATGTCACTATTTTCCCTAATTTTGGACTCCACCTATAGGCACAGTCCCAGGCTGGATTCCTCGTGGGGGTGCACCGGAGACTGCGCCTTCCGAAATTCAGGAAGCTGCAAGTGTGGAAGCCGTGACGGCACGGACATCGACATGCAGCCCGCTCACTCACCCCTGCCTTGCCAGACGAGGGGAGGCACGGCCCTAGCAGAGCACCTCTGTGTACGTGGGCGGCTTTATTTTTAATTTGTCCATTTGTTTAAAAAAATCAAGACATGCGCAATCACTCTTGGCACCAGTTGTCAAAAATCTGGGGGGAAATAACGGCCAAAAATGAGGTGTGCATTACTGAGGAATTGCAGCTGCACAGTATAGGCTACCCCCTGCGTTTCCAGCCAGAGGAAAATGGTGACCTGGGTGTATTTTTGTTTTTCCTTTTCCAGTGCAGACTGAGTGACAAAAGAACTTACCACGACGGTGGCAAACGTGGGGTTTTTTGAAACACTGCTACGACGGGGAGAGCAAAAGTGGACAACATGAAATTGGACGTTGGGAGAAGAAATCAAGCGGCCCGCGTGGGATCCGGCAGGGCCCCAGACTGCTCTGCACCCCCCGTCCCCAGGCCAGCAGCAGCCAGTCCCCGCAGCGTTCGCTTCAGGCCGGGGCCGGAGGCTCCCGTCCCGCTGTCGCTCCGGGGAATCTTTGTTCGTGCCCCTCAGCCCCTCGCCGTGCTCCCTGGACGCTGCCGACGGCCCCTGCCCAGCCCCTCCTCGCACCTCACCTACCTGGACACCGCGCGTACGGCAACAGCAGGGCAGGGCTTGAAAAAGCCAAGCACAACGTATTTTAACCAGGAAAAACGAGACTGTGGAGCTGATTTAAGCTCATTTTCCTTTCTAAGCATTTTCTGGCCTGAAAGCTTATTTGCCGATTGTCGAGCTGAAGGAAATACGGGTGGATGTGCTACAAACCACATCCCACGTTAGCTTAGCAGTGGAAAAGAAAAAAAGAGCACCCCTTAACTAGTCCAGCACGGCTTGCTTTCGCTTGGGACAAGGAATTTTCGTACTGGGGAGCCATCCTCATCCTCACCTTTAGCAAAGCCGGGTGCGGGAAGCCCTGGCTGCGAGCAGCGACCGTGTGCTCTCGCCGTGCCGTGCCACGC